GCATTTTATCGTTGGCGTACCCGAACATCTGTATTTTATCGTTGGCGTACCCGAACATCTGTATTTTATCGTTGGCGTACCCGAACATCTGTATTTTATCGTTGGCATAACCGAACATCTGTATTTTATCGTTGGCATGCCTGAACATCTGTATTTTATCGTTGGCGTACCCGAACATCTGTATTTTATCGTTGGCATGCCTGAACATCTGTATTTTATCGTTGGCGTGCCTGTACATCTGTATTTTCTCACAGTTTTTACTTAAACATCTGTATTTTATCGTTGGCGTGCCTGTACATCTGTATTTTCTCACAGTTTTTACTTGAACATCTGTATTTCAGTTAGTAAAATCCCATTTTCTTTAGTTTAAAAACGAAAACACAGCATTCATTCACCAACATATTTTCTATCTCTACATTGTGTGTTACATGCACAACAGACGAAAAAAATTAGAAATATCACCTCTTTACTGGTTTTTATATTGTAGAGGGCGTCGTCTTCTAGGTTTCAACTGTACTCTCTGAGTTTCTTTTAAATACCCTAAAAGCAAAAATCAGTGAACATTAGAAAACACTACCATTTCTCTCCCATAATGAAAAGTTTAAACACACATCCTTCTTAAACACTACCATTTCTCTCCCATGATGCAAATTTTAAACACACATCATTCTTAAACACTACCACTTCTCTCCCATGATGAAAAGTTTAAACACTCATCATTCTTAAACACTACCAATTCTCTCCCATGATGCAAATTTTAAACACACATCCTTTTTAAACACTACCACTTCTCTCCCATGATGAAAAGTTTAAACACACATCCTTCTTAAACACTACCACTTCTCTCCCATGATGCAAAGTTTAAATACACATCATTCTTAAACACTACCACTTCTCTCCCATGATGAAAAGTTTAAACACTCATCATTCTTAAACACTACCATTTCTCTCCCATGATGCAAAGTTTAAACACACATCCTTCTTAAACACTACCATTTCTCTCCCATGATGCAAAGTTTAAACACACATCCTTCTTAAACACTACCACTTCTCTCCCATGATGCAAAGTTTAAACACACATCTTAAACACTACCCGAGTTCTCTCCGACCTGTTTTATCAATACACATTTGGATTACCGTATATACCATCTATACTGGACTAGCATTTATACTAACCCTGTCTGTAACACACCAGAAGACTGTAGTTACATTAGACTAATGTTAACATGAACCTGTTTAACACACCAGAAGATTCTAGCTACAGTATGCAGCTAGTATCTATATTTTGGTGAAAATATAAGTCTAAAAGATACCTCGCTCCTGACATTCTTGGGTATCTGGAAAGTCTAACTCCCAGTAATGGTCTGGTGTGTGGGGTGGAGCATTAGATGCTCGATGCCGAGAGCACAGTTGCATTCTCTGTCTTCTTTCTTCTTCTGTCAAACCCATTTCTGTGTAATACTGAACCAAGAAAAATACACATGTTAAGTATATATGTTTATTTATTGTAACAGTAGAACAAGCATGAGGCAAAACTTTGAAATGATAACCAACTTTCAGAAGTATGATTTATAACAGCAAAAACTGCTTCGTTTTCTTTCTGGTCCATTCACGTAACTGCCTGACATAACAACAGACTCTACTCTAAACTCCAATTTTGTTCTAAGCCTAAAAGTATATCTTAAAACTTATGAATGAAAGGATTGAAGAACACGTAATAATATGTCACACTATGCCGACAAGACTAAGGCTCATCAGGCCAGTTAGGATACAAAAGTAGTGGTAGAGACACTATTTATATCATGAATTAAACAAAAATACAGTGTGAAGATAATGTATTAAAATAAATGGAATTTCATTGTTAAAACAATTGTTTTATTAACAATTATATGGTAAAACCTGCCTATGGAGAATCACTTATAAAACAAATCAATGAAAGTTATTTAACTTGAGACTTTTGAACTGATAGGTTTTACACCACAATAAAAACAATGAGTCTCATCTCTATAGGTGTGTGAACAAGAACATTATGTACTTACTGTATCACACGATACAGTTCTGTTTAACATTACATACTTACGGTATCACATGATACAGTCCTGTTTAACATTACGTACTTACGGTATCACATGTTACAGTCCTGTTTAACATTACATACTTACTGTAACACATGATACAGTCCTGTTTAACATTACGTGCTTACTGTATCACATGATACAGTCCTGTTTAACATTACGTACTTACTGTATCACATGATACAGTCCTGTTTAACATTACGTACTTACTGTATCACATGATACAGTCCTGTTTAACATTAC